CCCGAAGCTATTGTACTTCTGCGTACGTACTGGTATCCGTAGAAGAAGACCGAAACGAAAATGGCAACCAATTGATACCGTGTGTACTGGTACCAACTCAGATGCGCTATTGGCCGCTTTTTTCGGGGTACAGTCGTGGCTCCGTTATAAGAGGGTGGTGTGACAACGGCTCTCCACCACCCTCTTGTATCGGAGCCACCACCCTCTTGTATCGGAGCCCCCTCTTGTATCGGTATAATAAGAGGGCTACCCTCTTGTATGAGGGTGCTCCATAGAAAGTAGGGTACCCTCTTATAAAGGGAAAATCGGGAAATAATCTCGAGCAACAAAGGCACTTTGACTACGGACTGCGTACCAATCAATAATAATGCCGTGTAAGCAGTAGTAGCTAGCGTGGTGGAGTTTACGCACGTGTGGTGGGCTGATTGCCCGAATTCACACGCCCAAAGCAAGCCGGGTGATTGTGATCGTATCGGCAACGCTTTCCAACGCTTTCCGTTTGTTTGAATTTAGTTCATGGAGTGGAAACATATTATCTCCAGAGAATAATTGCCTCGCAGCCAAGTTGACGCAGCCATTTGACTAGGAGGTAAAGTGCATGTTCATGCATATGCATTTAAAACATATAGTCTACACACCACCACTCACTACTATTCCTTGGCAGATCCTCTCTGGTTTATTCTTCCTGCGGCGTTTGTTGTGAGGAAGGTGCGTTTGTTTATGATGAGTGAAAGGCGACAGACAGTCCCTAACCTACAAGCCCCCTAATAATGCTTTTTTTAGTAGTGCGGTAACTAACCCCCTCTATAGTGGGGTGACCCCACTAGAAAGGGGTCCGCGCTCTGTACAAACAATAGCATGCAGTCTTGGGGAAGATGAGATACTCAAGGACAGACATACACACCCGACTACACTGCAACAACTGCAACAACACTGCTGCTGCTGCTGTCTGCATAATTATATGCATACATCGCGAAAAAACTACCTTACTCGACTGAGGAACAAACACCTATCTGTCTTTCTATTGAAGCATATGAAAAGGGAACAACAATTGAAAATTGGGGTTCCCGTCGCAAGTCAGAAACAAGCACTACAAAAAGGAATAAATAAATCCCACGCGATCTTCAAAATAATAATCAAGTGATTGCTGAGCTTATCTACATAATAACCAGGTCATATTGCAGGGGGGCGAGATCAAAAGGGAGCGCAACGCAGAAACCAAGTCATATTTCAGACCCTTGACAAAGTTTTTAGAAAGTAACCATAACCTCACAGAAAGACTACCAAAATATTGATTTCTCGGAGAGGCTTATTCGGCGACGACGTACGTAATAAGCCGCAAAGCGAGAACGGTCGTTAACTTCTTACTCTATTCGTCCTGTGGAACAATCGACATACATACACACCTGACCTGTAAAATACGTAAACTACACGCAATTGTGAAATTCCGGCGTTCCGGCCCATCACACGCCAACCTCTCAGCTAGAGGTTTTCTCACCCCACACAGCCTCATCGTGGAAAACATGAAGATATCCCCTGTTTCTACGCAAACGCACAACTTTCAATATATATATTGTTACATATCATTCAGTGAGTCTTCCAATTGTTGTAGTCGCACCGGATCAGTTCCGAAAGAAACAAAAACGTGTAGTTTCGAATCGATTCGTTTAGTAAGGTATTCAGTCAGTATGCGAATGTAAGGACAACCACGATGACAACGACGACAACAACAACCCCCAGCAAACAAACGCAATGAAAAACATGCCAAGGTCTGTTCTCCATCGGTGACCAAAGTTTGATGGGCATATTATTATTTAGCTACGACCACAATACTGTAGAGCCAGACCTAAAATGTGGCACGTAATCAACGGGAAAAAACTATCTACCGCACGCAGGGAGTGCGGCATAGCTTGATAGCGTGTGCTATCCTATACCACCAATGTCATAAAACGGCAGATAATAAACTGTTGAGGGGGCCAAGTCGCCACAGAAACTATTCGTCCGCAAGATAGCAAAGGATGGGGGATCTACAACGTGTGGCATATGCTACATTGTACCATGCCGGAAAAATGAACAAAAAAATGATCCAATGATCACCATCAAGGTATCATTTCATTTCTCCAGCCCGCGGACAGAAGAAAGGACACAAACGCGATAACCTAGCAAGACCAAACAGCAAGGCCATAACACGGAGTAGTTTTCAAGACCTTTTCGCCATGGCAATCAGACTGCTCAGCCATGCCACAGGGCACAAAGCTCGACATCACTCATTCGCTACCCAGGCGAAGGAACAAAACCAAACGCTAACTGTTCACGAGCACACAAGAAACATCACAGCCCCGCCTGGTTTCAAAACAAATCTATTGTCAGGCAAATTTAGGTCGGGTGTGCTTGAGGGGCCGCAGGACCGAACCGTTGCGCTTTTTTCTTGGACAACAATTCCTTTCCGGACCTGATAAGTCACGAAAACAAAACCAAAGACGTCCCGCTACACATGACGCACGAAGCTCATGAAAACGCCACCCATTTCATTGTTCGTCGCCTTTTGTTGAGCGCTATCGCATGCAGCAACTTCGACGTCGCGGTCGCCCAGAACATCACACCTGAACATAGGAGGGAAGAATTTACCGGTTCAGATCAATCAAGCCTTGCGAGCTGCGTTCTACAATGAGGCTTGCCTACATGCTACATGACAGCCCCACGGAACACAAACCTGATTTCGTAAGAGTTCCAGCCACTTTTGGGTGTCGAGCGTCTCCGGGTGGTTTTCCCCAAGCGTCTCCATGCGGATTGGAAGCGCCCTCTCCAATAGTAGGATTACCTCCGTGAACTCCCCCTGTGGACGTTTTCGGTGCAGCGCTTAAAAATTCAAACCATGGCACGAACGGCATATAACGATGCCGGAGACAACCGCAGTGGTTCATTCGGGGGCAATATTTAACGTGCGGTGGGTTGATGCAAGGTTGTGGTCCGGCAAACAAAATCCGCACGACGGGGTACCCGACCTTGTCTTTGCAAGCGCCGGGCACTTGCTCCTGTCACTATTGGCTTGAACATCCCCAACACTATTTAGAGGCGATACCTAAAGGGTCAGCGTGTCTCACCTGCTGATACATCAATACCGCCCGCTCGTTCAGCGCTGAAGCCACGTCGGGATGGTCACTCCCTTGAATACGCTCACGGGCGTTGACAACCTCCTCCAACAAACGAGAAGCCTTGTCCAGGAGACCCTGCTTGGTGTACAAGTCAGCCAAAGCCCCTAGCGACGTAATCGTGTCCGGGTGGTCCACTCCCAAAGCGCCTTCCCTGATGGCCAGAGCTTTTTCGAACAAAGCGAGCGCCTCGGCGTTCTTCCCCTGCAGGAACAAAACAAACAACACCAGTAGACTACATGAAAAACCGACGTTCTTCCGTTCCCAAAGCAACCGCCAACACATACACAAAGGAGTGAACCGTCCAAGCAAAGCCTTGTGCTCGATTTCTCGACATATCATATTTTCGTCCTCTTTGTGGTGGACGTACTCTTACGGCAGAGCCCGACCGAAAGCAACAAACGAATACATCCCCGCGGCAACACTTTTTCTACGGATGCAACAGCAGGGTTCTGCAATGCTTTTAACGGCTGAACAGATGTACATGTAGAGGTACTACAAGCATCTTCGCAAATTGCTCAACGCAAGAAATACTCGGAAGCATCTTTGGAAGCCGCATCTAGCGCACAACTAGCTCTCCCGGTTGTGGGCATATTCAGGAAGAGTAGAGCCAACGGCGGGGCAACAATGGTCAACAATGACGCGACTGTCGACTCAAAACAACCCTACCACAAAAATTCTCGAGAACGCTCCAATGGCCTAATGCCAACACCACCACCCCCGTTCACCCGCATGAAAGTTTTCTCTCACCTGGTCGCTCAAGACTACTGCCCACATGCTAAGCGCTGAAGCCACGTCGGGATGGTCACGCCCTTGAGCACGCTCACGGGCGCTGACAACCTCCTCCAACACAGGAGTTGCCTTCTCCAGGAGGCCCTGCTTGGCGTACAAGTCAGCCAACGCCCCTAGAGACGTGATAGTGTCCGGGTGGTCCACTCCCAAAGCACCTTCCCTGATGGCCAGGGCTCTCTCGAGCAAGGCATGTGCTTTCGCGTACTTTCCCTGCAAGAAGCCCAACAGAAGGCGTATTCGGCGCGGAAGCGCGTACTGTGGCAGAAGTCTTCCTTTCCTGTGGTGGACTGTGCAACATTTTGGTGATACTCGTGGGCATAGTACTCAGGAATAGGGGAGCGACGTGCTCGATGGCTCGACGTCTGATTCATCTTGTGGCGCCCAAGCTCTTACCCCATAGTCCTGATTGGTAGCACTATACCAAGGGCTTCCGCGGACCGACGCGCTTTCGCGGATCCACTGGCAAGGTTCCGGAACGGTCCTCACTACTGCACAACACAGTGTCCAAGAGCGCTACAAGCACCCACAACTGCTCAACCTCTTCAAACATCCACAAAGCATAAAATAGCTCGCACCTGAGCGCTCAATAACCCTGCCCGGTTGTGAAGCACATTGGCCACTAGCGGGTGGTCGTGACGGTGAGCCTTCTCCCAAATCTTGATGGCACGCTCAAACAGCGGTTGGGCCTCCGTATCCTTGCCCTGAAATGTCAGGGAAGCGTGCGACGCGAGCGATTTGGTCTGGATCACTTAGCAACATGTGCTCCACACCGCCGTCGTTGTTGAGTCAAGACAACTCAACCACGAGAATACTCCGCGAACGCTCCAAAATTGGTTTTGAGTCACACCTACCCACCGTGACCCCTAAAAGCAACGCACGGTACAATAGTGGTATCTGAAGCAGGGACGGCCACATCCAATACCATGGCAACTTCCTATCCCACGCTGGAGGACGCGGACGGCCTCCTCCAACAGGCGATGTGCGACGGTAACCGCGGTGCAAGCAACTCGGCGAGGTTTCGGGGTTGTGGGCGAATTTCCCGTTCAGGACGGCTCTGATATGGCCGATGGACAAGAAGAGTGCGTTTCAACAGATCTGAATCGACCAGCCGGGGCGCCGGCTGGCAGTGGAGAATGGTAGGGGCAGCGTCTGCTGCAGAGCATGTAGACACCGGCGAAGTACCCCGGAAGAATGCGCGCCTAACGCGAGCAGGGATGCGTTCAGGGGGGCATGTGAATATAGCTCAATTGGCCGGAACGGCGATGGTACGAACACATCCAATATAGTGTAGAAGTAGGATACAGCCTGCGTAAAGATGAGGGTGAGGAGATAAAACAGTTGTATGGTTCTTCGTTGATGATGTAGTCAGTGCCGAGACGCAGTTGGAAGAAGAGCTGTTGGGTTGACAGCGGCATTCGCGTCCGTTAAACATGTACGACGACGAGAAAGAGGAGCGCAGGAAGCGCAACCGCTGTCGGGGGAGAAC